CTGTGAATTGCCATAGCCTGCCTAGGTCCATAACTTGTGAATTACCATAGCCTGCCTGGGCCCATAATCTGTGAACTGCCGTAGCCTGCCTGGGCCCATAACCTGTGCATTTAAGGTGCCATTGAAATTAACAGAGCAGTTAATGTTAAGAAACTTTAAGAATTGTTAAAAAGACTTTAACAACCTTTAAGAAACAGATCGTGAAAGAAAAACAAAAAATCTAAAACTGAACAAGTGACCAAAGTTAAAGTTAATACATGTTTTGATGTAAACATTACATTGGACAAAGTAATAGAATTGCTTCAACAAAAATACCCCTTAGATACAAATGTAGCGAGTAAATATACTAGTGAAGCGATGTAACTTATTGATTTTTTGCACGTGGGTTCCGGATACTGGACAGCAACAGCATTACACAAACGAATTAATGCGATTACACTAATTACTTGTGCAATCAAATGAAAAACAAAGGTTATTAGGCTGGGAATGTGTTTAACATGTAACCCCAGTGAGTTTGTTTAATGTTAATCATGTTTCGGTTATTGATCCATATCTATTTTCAACGCGATTTACTTAAATATAAATGAAAAGTTGTTTTTTCAAATTTGGGCGCTAAAGAAGAAATTTAAAACCTCGAGTATACCCTTATTCAACTATTACAACTATATTCACATTCAGATCAATATACAAACATCAAAATATCAAAATCAATATCCAGTGACAGCAAAAGAACTTAACTAGGAGCGGGAAAGGATAACAATAGTAATTAAATTAAATTTCTGTTCCTAAATTCATTATTATGCATGAAATCAATTATACTACTGTGACAAAACTGTGTCTGTAACATTGTGAAATTATTTTTATTGGCATATGGATGAAGAAAATTTAGCACATCCGACACAACTGCAATGTTTATTACTAAGTATTCCCAGAATGCCCCAACCTCTTGATAAAATCCTACGCTTATGTGATACCATTAGAATTAGCCTGGATCATGAACTTAAATTCGACATCAACAAATCAAAATGCTACATTGCGCCCCTTATTGCAAACATAAATTAGTGGGACATTTTGTCTAGCTATAGCTTAACTAATTGATTGACAGTTTAACTGTTAACATAGATTAAAAGGTGTCTATACTCCTTTTATCCATGCTGTTAATCAATTAGTTAAGCTATATACATAGACATCTTTTAAGTTTCTTTGTTTAGTCATAAAAAAGTTGTAGCCAAGATAAAAACACGAAATTACACTAAACTTCTCTGACAAAAATTCCAAATTGCACCAGATTGCATCAGTGCGATAGGGGAATTCTATTCAATGAAACCGTTTCCATAAACCGGGTTAACTACTATGCTTTAAAAATAAGTTTTCAAGATCTCCCACATTCCTGCGATAGCTCTTCTGATGACCATAACATATGTCTGAAGAATCGATAAACTTAGTCTTAGTCATAAACTAGCTTGCAAAACACAACCAGAAAAAAACTGTTCAGTTGACTCTTTCCATTGATCAATTAATTAATCCTTTGTTTTAAATTTGTTATATATTGCAATTGCAAGAGCTAACAAATTACGGTTTTAGGGGTAAGTCATTCTTTATTCATAAATGTATGCAGCAGGTTTTCAAAACAATCAGAAGGATATAATTTACTATTTCAATAGTAAATCTATTCTATAAATCACTACTGTTTTCTAGTTCCTGGTGACGTATTGGTTTAATTGCAATGTAAATGCTACGGGCCGGGCTGGTACACGGTCTCATCACCGACTACCTCCCTGTTTCCAGGATTTTATCCCCTGTTCCCGGATTACAACCCTGGCTGCCCGATCGAGGATTTGTGTTCAATTGCTCTTTGCCCTACCACTACAATGCATTTATTGAGATGCGTAAAATCCTACCGCTTTAAATGCCCGTGTTGCATTTCAAATTGTTCAATCGATTATAAACACATGATAACTGGAAATTTTGTAAATATTTTTTTAATTTTTTTATTTCTAGTTCAAAGTTTTTCCGTTTCATTGTTTAGACTCGTATTATTTTTCATCGAATAATAGTATTCCCTGTTGCTACAGGTCGAACTATCAAAACGAGGTTATTTTAAAGTAAGTTTTTTTTTATAAATCACATAACGAGAAAGATTATTTTTATTCGGTTACACTACTAGCTACTACTAACAGCGTTCCTTGCTGTGAAAAGGAGATTTTTTAAATACTACACTATTGTATGAGATATTATACTATTCATACTTTAAGCATTCTGGAAATATAAGCTGTCGTAACATGAACTATTACAACTATTTTTGTTACCCCTACGTTTTACAGTAAAATTCGATCCGTCTAAAAGTTTATTGATCAGAGAAAAACTATTCTCGAAAAACATTCTTCTCAATTTGATTTTAAGCTATTTTTGACAAATTATATCATATCTTGTACTTTGTTAAGGAAAATCAAGTCAATATTTGCAAGGTAATATATCTGTGAGAATTTATTACATATTATTGTGAAAACACTAGTGCATTCAGCTAATCTGTTAGTTAACTTCATATGGATCATTCTGTTACGTCATTCAGAACATGAGCTAAACATTACAAAATAATAATATAAGCTACAAAATGTAAAAAAACCTCAAACTTCCTACTTTGCTAAACTAAACAGTTTTTTTTTCGAAATTAAATAAATGAAAATAATAAAATAAAATAATATAAAAAATAAATAAATAAATAGTAATAAAATTATTATATAAAATTTAATTTAATTGAAGGAAAGCAGTGCACATGGATAAAAAACATAATTTTACAATGAAAAAAAAAACCTCAAGTCTACTTCACTAGTATACTAGTATATCATAAATATTAGGATGTAACTTAATGACTCATAGACTGTTGTTCCTTCACTTCGACCTTACTACACAATAAGAGTGTTGTTAACCATATCTCCCCTGCGATGGGTGTGTTTCGGTGTACACATGCTCAATTCTGTGTTTTTGCCAGTGAGATTACGCACGTGTAGTTGTGGGGGGGGGGGGGGGTAACAGGGGGAACCCCACATTAGAACCTCCGTGTTGTGCTTACACAATTAGCCTATCGCTTCACGTCCCCGTCAATTCCACTTGTGCCTCTATCAGGGACCGCATTCATTTAAACCTAATGTTTTTAATTCTGTATGCTTTACATTTTCGTGTCCTTTGCAAAGAGAAAGAATTTTGTATTGTTTTTGTTTGTTTTACATTTTTAAATGGGAGTAATTATTGCATATAACTTTATTGAAAGAACATTTTCTAAGTTTATTTTATTGATGTTGAAGTTTAAGCCTTGATAAGTCATAAACCCTTTCGTATAAAGGCTGACACCGGTGTCATCATGCTGATGAGTATTGCCTACATCAGGTATGCAGACAAACTCCCTGCTGACTGCAGTTTTATACGTGCTGCATAAAACGGTCATCTAGGAAGTTGGAACAGCTTATATTACAATCAATCTACTCTCACCAGTTTTGGTAGATTATCGCATGAGTATCACTTGAAAAGGTTGACAACATTTATAAATCACAATATACGTTTATAAGGAAAATGTATTGCAAAACAAAGGGATATACAATTCAAATAAAATAAAGTGGGGTATAATGGCGCTTTCGACTACTGTGTTTTCAATTTTTTACTAAATAGCTACTAGATTTCTGCTATTTATAATTGCCCATATGCATACGATTGATATTCGTGAATAAAGTGAGGTATAATTTAAGAATTGAGAAACGAGCCAAATTCTAAGTTGTTTTGGGTATACAGCTGATTGTCTAATATAAAGTTAGTTTTACCTCCTAACATTTAGGAGAGCCATTTGATATCTACCTCTTTGTCTATTAAACTCCTTGTATTTGTTTAATGTATCAATACACAACTACAATTGTTTATGATCAGAAAACTAAAAACAATAACGAAAACGTAGCCAGGGGTAATCTAGCAGGGTTTATTTGGGACAAACGTAGAACCAACGAAACATCATCTGCCTACTATCCTCCTGACGAACTGACAGATAAAGTTTGGATAAATCACTGTAGGAAGGATAGTACGAATGGTAAACTACATGTTATGACCTACTGTTGTTCTATGTGTAGGAGGCGGAGAGTGCCATCACGGCGATGAACGGACAGTGGCTGGGACAGATAAAGTTTGGATAAATAACTGTAGGAAGGATAGTACTAATGGTACACTACATGTTGTTCTATGTGTAGGAGGCGGAGAGTGCCATCACGGCGATGAACGGACAGTGGCTGGGACAGATAAAGTTTGGATAAATAACTGTAGGAAGGATAGTACTAATGGTACACTACATGTTGTTCTATGTGTAGGAGGCGGAGAGTGCCATCACGGCGATGAACGGACAGTGGCTGGGACAGATAAAGTTTGGATAAATAACTGTAGGAAGGATAGTACGAATGGTAAACTACATGTTATGACCTACATGTTGTTCTATGTGTATGAGGCGGAGAGTGCCATCATGGCGATGAACGGACAGTGGCTGGGACAGATAAAGTTTGGATAAATAACTGTAGGAAGGATAGTACGAATGGTAAACTACATGTTATGACCTACTGTTGTTTTATGTGTAGGAGGCGGAGAGTGCCATCACGGCGATGAACGGACAGTGGCTGGGACAGATAAAGTTTGGATAAATAACTGTAGGAAGGATAGTACGAATGGTAAACTACATGTTATGACCTACTGTTGTTCTATGTGTAGGAGGCGGAGAGTGCCATCACGGCGATGAACGGACAGTGGCTGGGACAGATAAAGTTTGGATAAATAACTGTAGGAAGGATAGTACGAATGGTAAACTACATGTTATGACCTACTGTTGTTCTATGTGTAGGAGGCGGAGAGTGCCATCACGGCGATGAACGGACAGTGGCTGGGACAGATAAAGTTTGGATAAATCACTGTAGGAAGGATAGTACGAATGGTAAACTACATGTTATGACCTACTGTTGTTCTATGTGTAGGAGGCGGAGAGTGCCATCACGGCGATGAACGGACAGTGGCTGGGTAGTCGCAGTATTCGTACCAACTGGGCCACGAGGAAACCTCCCGCTCCCAAGAGTGACTGTAAGTTTGCATGATCTCATTATTTTTGATTGCTTTATTTTACACTCATTCCTCTGGGAAAGTTCATAAGTTCTCTGGCGAATCACAGTAAGTATAAAACCCACGTCAAGTAATGATCTTAAGAATAAGCTGTAACTTACAGCCAGAAACAATTAGTATCTAGGACAGGGTACAGGAAGAATTTACTGAACAAAATACCAATAATTTGAGTTTGAATGTGTTTTAAAGTCTGACAATGTATTTTTATTTTTTTCGCAATACTGAGCCATGCGTGATTAAATTCCGATTAGAATAACAAAGGCAAGCACATTAAAAATAAATAACAAACTCTAAATTTTAATAGTATTACCATAGACTAACCAACACAAGTAGACTTCTCATCCCATTGTAAATTTTGAAGCACGTTTTTCGTGTATAGTTCATGTACGCGACACAAAGGCGCTAGTGTCTATGAAACTTTGTTTCCATTATTTTAGGGTTAATTTCTTGATTTGTGCTTTACTGTTTGGTTATATAACTAGGGGACAAGTTATTATGTATGATTAGATCGTATTATTTGGTTAAACAAGGTTTTAAATGGCTGTAATAACGGGAAACAAATTGTAAACAAAACACGACCTCTACATAAACCGTACATGAACTAACAATAAAATTGTCTTCAGCTGTTCCATAAGGATAAGAAATCTACTAAGGGAGTATGTTTTATCTATGGTATTACCAATATTCATTATACGAGGTAGTGAGCGGGTGAATGTAATTATATTTTTTCAAGACTATCCTAAGGCATTATTTGCTATATAAATGCTTGTAGAAATATGTAGGAGACTACAGAACATTACACACAATATATATTCAGGGGAGGAAATTGCTGCTACTGCGGCGCATCGTAATTTAGCCAAATAGTGGGCTGATGAATTTTTAAAATCCGGCAAAACAACGCGTGGCGGCTCCTTCCAATTACTGGTGGGGTTGCAGCTATCCTAATTGCTGCCTTTGTACCCGCTGATTGGCCCGTGTCACTCGATTCAATTTTCCTAATCCCGTCCTGTTTTTAAACCGCCTCGAGCCACAATCTTCTTCAGACGAAACACCAATCCTGCATCGACCTAGCTCACCACACTAACGCAGGATCGTGCTTCGCCTGGAATCCTCACACTATCGCAGACTTGTGCTTCGCCCGAGCTTGTCACACTATCTCAGAACAGTCCTTTGCCTAAGCCAAATCACACTATTGCAGAACCTTGCGTCACCCTAGCTGGTCATACTATAACAGGATCGTGATTCGCCCGAGCTCACCACACTATTGTAAGATCGTGATTCGCCCGAGCTCACCACACTATTGTAGGATCATGCTTCGCCCGAGCTCACCACACTATTGTAAGATCGTGATTCGCCCGAGCTCACCACACTATTGTAGGATCGTGCTTCGCCTGAGCTCATCACACTATTGTAGGATCGTGCTTTGCCTGAGCCCACCACATTATTGTAGGATCGTGCTTTGCCCTAGCTCGTCAGACTGTAACAGGATCGTGCTTTGCCCGAGCTCACCACACTATTGTAGGATCGTGCTTTGCCCGAGCTCGTCAGACTCTAACAGGATCGTGCTTCGCCCGAGCTCACCACACTATTGTAGGATCGTGCTTTGCCCGAGCTCGTCAGACTCTAACAGGATCGTGATTCGCCCGAGCTCACCACACTATTGTAGGATCGTGCTTCGCCTGAGCTCATCACACTATTGTACGATCGTGCTTTGCCTGAGCCCACCACATTATTGTAGGATCGTGCTTTGCCCTAGCTGGTCATACTATAACAGGATCGTGATTCGCCCGAGCTCACCACACTATTGTAAGATCGTGATTCGCCCGAGCTCACCACACTATTGTAGGATCATGCTTCGCCCGAGCTCACCACTCTATTGTAGGATCATGCTTCGTCCGAGCTCACCACACTATTGTACAATCGTGCTTTGCCCGAGCTCACCACACTATTGTAGGATCGTGTTTCGCCCGAGCTCGTCAGACTCTAACAGGATCGTGCTTCGCCCGAGCTCACCACACTATTGTAGGATCGTGCTTTGCCCGAGCTCACCACACTATTGTAGGATCGTGCTTTGCCCGAGCTCACCACACTATTGTAGGATCGTGCTTTGCCCTAGCTCGTCAGACTGTAACAGGATCGTGCTTTGCCCGAGCTCACCACACTATTGTAGCATCGTGGTTTGCCCTAGCTCACCACACTATTGTAGCATCGTGCTTTGCCCAAGCTCACCACACTATTGTAGGATCATGCTTCGCCCGAGCTCACCACACTATTGTAGGATCTTGCTTTGCCCTAGCTCACCACACTATTGTAGCATCGTGCTTTGCCCGAGCTCACCACACTATTGTAGGATCATGCTTCGCCCGAGCTCACCACACTATTGTAGGATCGTGCTTTGCCCGAGCTCACCACACTATTGTAGCATCGTGCTTTGCCCGAGCTCAGCACACTATTGTAGGATCATGCTTTGCCCGAGCTCACCACACTATTGTAGGATCATGTTTCGCCCGAGCTCGTCAGACTCTAACAGGATCGTGCTTTGCCCGAGCTCACCACACTATTGTAGCATCGTGCTTTGCCCGAGCTCACCACACTATTGTAGGATCATGTTTCGCCCGAGCTCGTCAGACTCTAACAGGATCGTGCTTCGCCCGAGCTCACCACACTATTGTAGGATCGTGCTTTGCCCGAGCTCGTCAGACTGTAACAGGGTCAAGCTTCGTCGGAGCTCGCCACCACTATCAAAGGATCCTGCTTTTCCCGAGCTCGTCACACTATCGCAAGCCCTTGCCAGGCCCAAGCTTGCAACACTATCACAGGATCGGGCTTCGCCTAAACTCGCTAAACTATCGCAGGGCCCTTCCTCATGTATAAAGACTACGTCATGTATGTTATGGTATGTATATATTTTTTTTACAGGTGCAAGAGCAAATTTGTATTTTCACGAATGTAGTTTTTCCACACTAATAATTCTTAAAAACAAGGAGGAATTTAGGAACTACTAGTTTGTACACCAACTAGTTTGTAGTAGAGCCCATGGGACCATTGTGTAACTGAAATTAACCATAATGGATGTAAAGGTGATATACAAACATACAAATGTACCACCAAAATTTACCGGAATTTTACCAGAACGGTGAATTTAAAGTGTTAGTGTGACAAAGTATGATACATAAACTACATAAAAAATTAATTTTTTTTAACTTATCAGCACAACATAATATTTAGACAATAATAGGTTTTTTACATACCTCAGTCAAATAGTCCAAAAATGGTATTGCTCAACAGCTTACATGTTTCGTTGCGAAGACAACATTATCAAAGCTTGCAACTCGTCAAAAACACATTTAAAACACGAACACGAACACAGAAGACGAGTTGCAAGCTTTGATAATGTTGTCTTCGCAACGAAACATGTAAGCCATTTTTGGACTATTTGACTGAGGTATGTAAAAAACCTATTATTGTCTTAACAATATAGTCCAGGGGCCGAAAACATGAATTTTGATAATATTTAGCTTTTAAAAGTAAAAAAGGACATGAAAGAATTCCGTGCTACGATGAACACGGAGAGGCCTGGTGCCCTTATATTGTATTCAAGAAAGGGACTCGAGACTGTATTGGGACTGTATCATGTTTGGTTGTTTCTCGCTCAAACAGTTTCGATATTCATAGTCTTTAAAATGTTCAGGTGGTGTTTCCTATTATGAAGTAGGTTATATTATAAAAGCCTACTTTAGACTAACGGTAAGATAACAACTATGTGTTTGAATTTAAAAATTGAAAGTTAGTGAAGACAATAGGGCCTAATGAATAATAATATCACTGGTGATCTATCCCCAAATCAAGAGTGTTAACTATCTATTTTAAATTAACTATTATACATGTTGGTTATTTTAAATAAGACATTTAATAAGTAGTTTTACTTTTGAAACGGTATCGATAAAAGAATATTCTAGTAACAAGAGTAACATATATTCTATTTACTGAAGATAATGTTAATTTTAGTTTTATTTACAATAGATTTGAACGTAAAAAGTTAGATTCAGACCATTTCACTTTATACAAATTAGATCAGTCGACGTAATAATTCTGTCAATAAGGTTAAATAAGGTAAAAACCTGTCTGGAATTCAAGAAACAAAATAACGGTGGTTTGAGCTTCCATTGTTATTGAAATAATATAGTATTCATACACGGAAATATAGAAAGTAATCGAATTCCAAACATTTTTCTCTCAATTGTTTGTGTATTTAGTACAGAGTTAAAAACATATATGGTGACATTAGTATACATCAAAAATTTAAGATTAGACATTTTTGGAGTTGGTGTCGGTGTTATTTGATGTTTTGAGGTGGTGCGGTCTTCCCCACCGCGGCAGTGCAGTGCCACCAGTAGAGTGCGTTGACGTGTTCTTGTATTGATATAGTCGTTAAAACAGTAGCCTATCTTGTGATTGTGTGACACAAGGGCAGAGTTGTAACCCAGCCATAAACTGTTCAGATGTGCAAAGTTGCAGCGAGCCGCCGAGTTTCGCGGTCATTTACTGAGAGTTCTGAGTTAGTGCTTCCCTCTACCACCCACACAACGAAAACAACCCGTTCCTGCAAAGGAAAATACTTTTGTGTTTAAAAATTCAGATTCTTAGATATACAAAACGTAAAGTCAACCACCACCACCATTTACCACCATTCCACCACCACCACCATATGCCACCATTTCACCATTTACTTTTTCCAATCATAGAAAAACGTGAATAAACTTAAGATGTATGGTTTTAATTTTACCACAACACTCTAAATTTAATATTATATATTTAACAAAATATTTAATATAAATAACACTGTACACCTTCTAAAAGTCATATCCAAGTATTTTTTTATAACAAAAGAGTTTATACTTTAGAACATAATATATATTATATTGTTCTCATGCTATTTGGTTTAAAATTTTGAAACCGTC